TGGGACATAGTATTTAGTATATAAATACTATTTATTTATATTTAGTATTTAGTATTTAGTATATAAATACTAAAGATAAATTTAGTATATTAGTTCTCCAACCCATGTTAACACTAATCATTTTCAAAGTATCATAGAGTGACATAGGGTTCAAAGAGTGAATAGGAGATGGTACTTTCCAGATTATAACATTACTGATCAATGACTACATTAGTCACACTGAAAACATAGATCCAAACACAGAATTGTAATTCAATGATAATCTGTACAATTTAGCAAGCATAAACCCTTTGTGGTAATTTCTGCAGAACTAAAGATTCATCTTGGTGAAATAACAAAATTGTTTCAGTACTATTAAACTATTTAATACTATTTCCTAGGACCTACATAAAGGAGACCTGTAAATGCTTTGCTCAGAATACTTTTAGGTAAAAAATACTCTCTTCAAATCCTGAGGACTTCCAAGTATAAAGCCCTTTAAATTACTCATTTTCACTTGAGAAACAATATGCACATTAAAAAAAGTAAAACCTACCTTAAAAATCCATGATATCAAGTTATTTCCAACAATTCCAAAAGCACTCTAATGTCCTATGTAAATTTTTAAATCCCATGGATGTTTTACAGAAACTGCTTAAAAAAAAAATTCTTATAAAAAATAAGAAGCAGGGACTCTCCTGTCCCCTCCTGGTGTGAGCCGGGAGCTCTGTCCTTTCACTGTATCTCTAAATAAAAGCCTGTCCCTTGCTCTCCTAAAAAAAAAAAATAAATAAAAAATAAGAAGCAAAATAGCCAAAACTGTTGAAGTATGGAAATTTAGATACTGCAAGAGCTATAAAGACCCTTTGAACTCAAGAAATACAATCATTTATATTTAAAAAATCACTCATTTCCTACTGATAAAACCTTGAACAATGTAATACATGTCCACAGCTCCAACCCTGGAAGGGCTTCTCCATCCAAACCACCACCCCTCAAAGTCCACCTCAAGTCCCTCTGCCTCCTAACCTCTCCTCTGACCATCGCCTACATGAGTCTTCATCTTTCTGGGCCTACTACACTAGGGCACCAACACCAGACAATACTTGTCATCAGCTTTGGATGGTTAGAAATTACTGTATTTTAATACTTGTTTCATATGTGGTAGGTACAATTCTAATATGACCTTTAAGGTAACTGTTCCCTGGTGTTCATACCCCTCTCCCAGTTATTCAAGCAAACACTAATGTGGGTATGGCTGGGAAGGGATTTTTGCAGATAAAATTAAGGTCTCAAAGTCAGTTGACCTTCAACAAAGAAGTTTATCAAGGTGGGCCTGTTCAAATCACAGTAAGCCCATTTAAATCTTGTTTCAGAGGTTAGAGACAAAAGAAGTTAGAAATCTTTGAATCATGAGAGGGACTGTACATGAAAGGTTCTCCATAGCTTGCTTTGAAAATGGAGGAGACCACATGGCAAGGAATGCAGGCAGTGGTTAACTGACAGCAAGGAGACAACTTTGAAATGTTTCAAGCATATTGCTGAGGTCATAACAGAAATACAGTGTAGTGGTGTTGGTGCCCTACTGCGGCAGGACACAGGAAAATAAGGACTCGAGTAGGTGCTACTTCAGAAAAGGAAGGTGGGAGGGCCAACTGCTGATTGAACTGAATTGAAACAGAACTGAAAGGTTGAACAGTGGACATAGATATAAGAATCACCACCAGAAAATTCCACACAGATGGTAGGAATGTAAATTGGTAACTTTGCCACTTCTCAAACACTGTGGGAAGCAGTGTGGAGGTTCCTCAAAAAATTAAAAATAGAAATACCTCTCGACCCAGTAATTCCACTTCTAGGAATTTACCAGAAGAAAACAAAATACCTGATTCGAAAAGCTATAAGCACCCCTATGTTTATCACCGCATTATTTACAATAGCCAAGATATGGCAGCAACCTAAGTGTCCATCAATAGATAAATGGATAAAGATGTGATATATAAATACAGTGTAATATTATTCAGCCATTAAAAAAAGAAATCCTGCCATTTCCTACAACATGGATGGACCTAGAGGGTTTTTGCTCAGTGAAATAAGCCAGGTGGAGAGAGGCAAATGCCATATGATTTCACTTATTTGTGGACTAAAAACCAAAGTAAAACAAAATGAACAAACAGCAGTAGACTTATAGACACTGAGAAGCGACTAGTGGTTACCATGAGAGAGGGGTTAGGGTGGGTGGGTGGGGAGGTTGAGGATAAAGGGGTAAAAAATTCTCAATTATGATATAAGTTGGTCATGGGGATAGTAATACAGCATGAAGAATATAGCCAATGATTCTGTAACATCTTCCTATATTGACAGATATGTACTGGGGGAGGGGTATTTAATAATATGAGTAACAGTTGACCCACTGTGCTGTATATTTGAAACTAATATAAGATTGTATATCAGCAACACTTCAGTGAAAAAAATTAACACATTTAGTAAAAGTTCAAAAAAAATTCTACACAGAATTTTTCTGTGGAACAGGAATTAGGATAAAAATCTATGTTAGAGCAGAAAAAAAATATCTAAGGCTCCTTTCTGGAGATAGAAGCTGGGTTTTTTCCTTCCTCATGGGATACCAAGGATGGGAGTAGTGTAACTGGTCATATACCTCATTTTTTAAATGCCGGCTGGAAAGACAAGACCAAAGAAAAGAATACACTACTTCAGCCTCTCCTGAGGCTTTTCTGAGACTGCTGAGATGAAGACCCACAGAGGATACCTAAGCACCCCTTCCCCTCAGAACTCTAAAGCCACTAAGGTTGTGAATTTCACCAGGTTGGGTTAGTTGGGATCCAGTTACTCTCTGAAGCCTGCTGTTGCAGGAGTTGATCAATGCTACATTTAGGATCAAAACAATCACTCCCCCCAATACATACTGTATTTGTTGGTCTTGGCACAATAGGGTAACACAATGCATAATACACATACTGGGAGAAAGTACTCACAATGTATATCTGGCAAAGGACTGCAATCAAGAGTATATAAAAAAGTCCTACACATGAATCTTTTTAAAAAAATCATCCTATTAGAAAAAAGTTAGAGACTTCACAAAAGAGATCAGAATGGCCAACAAGCAGATGAAAAGGTCATCAATAATATTAGTAATCAAATAAGTGAAAATTAAAACAAGATACCACTACAGAGCCATCAGAGTGGCTAAAATTAAAGATGAATGATCCCAAGTATTGTTGAGGATGAAAAGCAGCTAGACTCTCATACTTTGCTGGTGAGAATGCACAATGGTGTAGTTACTTTGGGAAATACTCTTGAACAACTTCTGAGTTACATGTGTCTACCTTGTGATTCACCAATTCCACTATCATCCATTTACCTAAGAGAAAAGAAGGCATATATCTACACAGACTCGTAAGGAATGTTCAGGGCAGTTTATGCATAAAAGTCAGTAACTGTAAACAACTCAAGTGTCCATCAATTGTATGTTTACACAATGAACCAGACATACTGATACAGGATATATGAATGAGTGAATGAATGACTGACTGACTCTAAAACAATGTTTCATAGAGAAACCCAAATAGACATAAAATATTATGGTCTATATGATTCCATTTTGACTCAAAAGCAGCCTACAGTGAGAGATGCCAAAATAGTGGCTGCCTATAGCGGTGAGGGGAGGACTGATTAAAAAGGCCTACCAGGGAAATTTTCTGGGGCTCTTGGAAATACTATTTTGATCGGTGTGGTGGCCACATAGGTATACACATATGTAGAAAGTCATTGATCTGTACTCTTATAATTTATTCATTTTATCGTATGCAAATCATACCTCAAAGTATTTTTAAAAGGAAGGGAAAAAAGCACTACTGATTACTGCTGATAGAAGCTACAGGCGGTTCACATCTCTAGAATACTGAGTGAACCACGCCACACTATGCGCTGGAGAGTACAAAGTAACACACTTCGTTTTTGCTCTCTTATTGCTTTAAATAAAATGCAGGGGCCAAGAAAAACACTAACCTAACCAAGCCACTCCTCTGTTTGAAGTTATTTGCTGGAATTGAGAAGCCTGGATTGCCCAGATGCCATTAAGTCTGTGCCAGGCACTGTGCTCGGCGTTTTACGACCATGGTCTCACTGAATCCTTATAACAATTCCATCAGGTAAGACCAAACCCAGTTTGGGAAAACAGGGTTAAAAAAACACTTTTCTGATGAGGTTAACAATCCTTGTGAATACATCTTGACAATCCTCCACGTACGACAGGAAGGGACGGTGCTTCCACTAAGTCATCAATATCCTCCCCACGTCTCCTGCTCTCCTCAAATACAATGCAATGCGGGTGGTTCTTTAACCAGATCCATGTCCAAAGTAAGGAAAAAAGTGTTCAGTTGCACCACAGACCATCATCTACCTCAACGCCCGAGGCTCAGCTCCAACCCGCTCAACCCCACGCATGCGCTCTCGTCCACCCCGCAAGACTCTGCGCACGCGCAGATCGGGAGAGCGACGGTGTACCTGTGCAAAGTTAGAAGTCGACACTTTTTTCTTCTTACTGGCGCTATAACCCCCAGCGTTGTTGCCGTTGTGGGAAGGACTGGCTGGCCTCTTCTTGCTGTTCCGGGTTACACCCGGAGTGGAAATGGTGGCCACAATTGGAATTTGAGCTGCCATTTCTTCCCTGAGTCTATCTCCTCCCCACCCCCGCCTCTTTCCCTGTGCGACCGGGGAACTTCCGGCTCGCTGTTACTTCCGACTTAATGCTTGAAAACCCGGACTGGACTCCTAAAGCGTTCGCCGACTACTCTCGGCCAAGTTTAAAAGGCGGAGGTCTGAGCGGTCCATTCCCTTGGAACGTGGAAGTCCCCACAGGGCGGCTTCCAGCTGCTCGCGGTCCTGACCTAGGCACGTCCCTGGAAATACCCAGTGATTAAAGAATAGAACAGCTCATGATCTTTTTTAAATAACTGGTTTTTAAAAAAGTAGTAACCATGCTGTTTTCTCTCTTATTAAGTTAGAAGACTGATGACTTCTGATGTCTGTAAGAATAAAGGTAAGGCTATTCTCAGCGAAATAGACCACCCACCAACTGCTGGCTTTCCCTTTGGTCGCTGCCTTCTCGTGGAGAAGTTAGTGTATCAGTGGTGCCCATATGGACTTGAGGGGTTCAGTGGTTCTTAACCTTTAGGGGACCCAAACTCCTTCAAGCGCGTAATTCCTCTCCCAGACGATGTATATGGGCAAAGGCAAAACTTGACACACAGATTTCAGGGAGTTCACAGATCTGCTAAACCCTAGTAATGAACTTTGGTGGAACACCTTCTAACTCCTTGCCACATACTACTCTGCTTCTTCAGAACCTTTATGACATAAACTACATGGTTTATAATGGTTGGTTAACGTCTTTTTGGCTCCTGCTAGAATGTAAGTTCTATGAAGGAAGGCCAGTAATGTTTTGTTCACTTACCTTTCCCAGGTCACAGTGCCTTGCTAGTTGCTGCTACATTATAAACATTCTTTTTTTTAAAATTTTGTTATTATTACTGTACAATTACATGAGCAATATTATGGTTACTAGACTCCCCCTATTATCAAGTCCCCACCACATACCCCATTACAGTCACTGTCGATCAGCATAGTAAGATGCTATAGAATCACTACTTGTCTTCTTTGTGTTATACTGCCTTCCCCATATCCACCCCCCACTATATTATGTATGCTAATCGTAATGCCCCTTTTCCCCCCTTATCCCTTGCTTCCTACCCAACTTCCCCAGTTCCTTTCCCTTTGGTAACTGTTAGTCCATTCTTGGGTTCTGTCAGTCTTCTGCTGTTTTGTTCCTTCAGTGTTTTCTTTGTTCTTATACTCCACAGATGAATGAAATCATTTGATACTTGTCTTTCTCTGCCTGGCTTATTTCACTGAGTGTAATATCCTCTAGCTCCATCCATGTTGTTGCAAATGGTAGGATTTGTTTTCTTTTTATGGCTGAATAATATTCCATCGTGTATATGTACCACCTCTTCTTTATCCATTCATCTACTGATGGACACTTAGGTTGCTTCCATTTCTTGGCTATTGTAAATAATGCTGTGATAAACATAGGGGTGATTGTCTTTTTCAAACTGGGCTGCTGCATTCTTAGGGTAAATTCCTAAGAGTGGAATTCCTGGGTCAAATGGTATTTCTATTTTGAGTTTTTTGAGGAACCTCCATACTGCTTTCCACAATGGTTGAACTAATTTACATTAAACATTCTTTTAAATGAAGTATTTAATAAACGAATGAATCTTGTGCCATAACTAGCTGAAGCTATTGTGTTCTAATACAAGAAAGTGGCATATATTGATGCCGGGGTTCTTGTTTGTAGAGTCGAAGAATGAATTTAGCAAACACCCAAGGTAGGAGAGCCAGGGAGAGGCTTTTGAAAGATACAGTGAGAGGACAGAGCTCCTGGCATGAGCCAGGAAGAGACAAGAGAGCCTGTGATGGTGTGCTGTCTAGGGGATTTATAGGCAGTTGAGAGACTAAGGGCCAGGGATGCTGACCTGCTAAATGGTCCCCAAATGTTTATCTTTGAAGAGACACTAAGTTTTTTATCAGTCTTCTGGATTATTTTGCAGAGTTAAATTTACTACTCTGATTCTTTCCCAGAATAGCAGCCTCTTGGTTTGGGAGCACATTAATCAAGACTGCCTGTCCTGCTCCTAAGGTGGGCTGGGTTATTGTCTGTTTGCTGAAGAGTAAGTTAAGTATCTTACTTCTTAACTTCCTGGGTGTTAAAATGCAATTTTATCTTTAAGGTGGAATCTTTCCTGCCTTTTACTATGTTGTTTACAACTGGACCTGCCTGTTATATTAATTGCCCAGGTTATGTGTATTACTTGATTAGGGGCTGGAGGAGGAAAAGCAGCATCTGGGTACAGTTAAAGAAGATAAGCTGGGCCTTTGAGCAGGCTAAAGTAAATTTTACAATAGCCTCTTTTAATTGACACAATGAAGTCATGGGCTATGCTGAGGTATTTTCTTATCTGGGAGATGTTCAAACATTCCAGGCCAAGTTACTCCTGGCTTTTTAGTTTTAACTAATCTCACTGAAGAATGCTTATATTCCTAGTTTGATATTTTACTTTAGAGAATTAATGTGACTCTGACTTTGCTTAATTGTTTAATACAGAATTTTGGTAGGGGTCTTTTTCCAGAGGCCCTCACCCTACTCTGACTACACCCACGGTCCCTGTTTTAATATGAATCTGTATATTTGAAGGAAATAGGCTGCAGAATGACTTAGAGGTTAAGAGAAAACAGGGAAACGAGCAATAATGTTGCTAAGGTCTTTTCTTTGGAGAAAGGAATAACCACCTAGCATTGAACTGTTCTTTTCCATGCCTCCATCCCTATCCTCACAGAAATCTAATCTTCCTTATTCCTTATCTCAGTGACTGAGAACACCAAACAGCCAATCACCTAAGCCAGAAACTAGGTTTTGCCTCTAGGCCCACCCTTCCTTGTGTCCCATCTTTCTCCCATTCTGGTCAGCCATCTCCTCAGCTCAGTTCTTTCCATCACTCCTAGCCTGGCGATTCCATCACCCCTCATCTGGATCCCTGCTTCCTGGTGGAAGTTTGGGTCTCCACCTTTTCTTGTCCTCCCTCATCCCAGGCCATCCTTTACACTGGCTGCCAAAATGGGCTATCTAAAGCACAAATCTAATCCTTATGTTCTTCAGAGCTCTTTTACCTTCAGGGTGAAACCGAAAGAGCCTTTGCCTTGGCATATAAGGTCCTTAATAACTGGACTGTGCCACTTTCTCTTGCTTCATTTCCAACACCTAGTCTAGTCCCTTATGCTTCAGCCAGGAACTAACACTGTTTCCTAAAGTGTACATCGTCCTCTTAGCTCATACTTATGTTTCCATTATTTCCTTTCCTAGGAATGCTTAGCTCCTTTGTCTTAGTTCAGATGCTACTTCCAGTGAAAAGCTGTTGTCTGATGCACCCTCTTCTCTGCTTTCTTTCCTTTTCCTCCGCTGTGCACCCATCTCTGATGGCACTGAGCACAGGCCACCTTTGGGTCCATCCTATAATCCCTTAGTAAATGCTTATTGAGTGCAAATACTAATTCTCTACTTACAAGGAGTCAGACACGTGAATGCACCACCATCTGGTTTCCTATTGCTGAACTGAGTCTTGATCTTTTCTGATCCCTTTCTTTCCCTTGGGATCTGGAATACCACCATTCGTTTATTTTCCTGTTTCCTAACTACTTACCCTCTCTCCAGCAGTCTTCTTCCACAAAATGGGTTTTAATACTATGGGTGTTTAAAAAACATCCTAGAGATTTTTCAAGATACAAGTTATGTAGTCATTCCTCCAGCAGATACACATTTTTAAAGTTTCCCAGGTGATTCTAATGCTCAGCATGTTTGGAACAATGCTCTTCCTGCTCACTCCTTACACACAGAGAGTTCCTTGGTGCTTGGTCAAAGACTCTTTACCTTCCTCAGTCTTTATTTTCCCCAGCTGTTCAGCAGCTCTTGGACCTGGGTTACCATCTAAATGCAGACCACTTTCATATTTGCATCTCTTATCTTGATCTTTCTCCGAAGATGCATACCCAGATATAAAATTCCCTGCTCAGATATAAACTCAGGATGCTTACAGGCATCTCACACTCAGCAGGACAAAACCAGAGTTTGTAATTCTCCCTGCTTCTCTAAAACACGTTCCTCCTTCAATATTTTCTGTCTCAGTAAATGCCACCATTGTCTACCAGATGTTCAAAGAAAAACCCCAGAAGTCATCCTTGGCTCCTCCCCTTTCTCCACCTCCGTGCCATAAACCTATTCCAGCCAGCTTCATCTTTCTCAGACTCCACCTTCACCTTATTTGTCTCCCTGCTTCCAACCTTCAGTCCCTTCAACCCAGTCACTACATGAAATTCCAGATGACCTCTTTAACAATACAAACATGCATATTTAATCATGCTCTAAACTTAACACACTTCAGTGGCTTCCCATGTTCCCTAGAATGAAGTCCAATGTCCATAACATGGTTTCAAAGGCATTCAGAGACCTGCCTGTCTCTGCATCCTTGCCTCTCTCCTCACTCTCCATACTCCAGTCCAGGTTTCATTTTTGTCAGTTCCACCAACCAGATGTGCTCCCTCTTCCCTTAGGGCCAGTACTCACACCACTCCAGGAAACTGCTTTGGTCTCATACCACCTTTCTGTGGTCTCACTGCCTTCCACCCATCCTTCCTATCTTGGCTGACATGCTATTTTTTTAGCCTTCAATATCCTTCTGGTCTAGTTAAAACTCCTTGTCCCATGTTCCTATCAGTCTCAGTCATTTAGTATCTACTGATCATCTGTTATATGCCAAGCCCTATAGAAAGAAAAGGTCATATAGAAAAGTCCCTGTTGTCAAGGAGCCCCCAGTTAACAGGGGAACAGAGACATTAGATTTGTCTTCTCAGCTGAACATAAACTTCCCTGTGGGCAGCTGCCAGAGGCATCAAGGATTGAGTGGCAGAGCACCAACAGATGATAGCCACAGGAGATGAGAGAAATGCAGGAGGGCATCTACTCAAGGGAAACAAAAGCTTTGTGATTGCAGAGAGACCTATTCCACGTCCACCTCAGTGGCACCAGTGACTGCAGTGCTGGCACATGTGGGTGTTCCAAGCACTCTGCTGCATGTATAACTCATATGCTCCCATATCTTTTGCTAAGATAAATTCACACTGGTGACCCACATGCTGCTGGCTTGTGTGATGAGCAGGGCCTACCCTAAGTCCCCTCCTAGTTATTCCTAAGAACTTGCAGGGTGTGTCCCACCGTTGCTATAGTGGCGAACCCTCTTGAGCATTTCCTCTCCAGCTTCCTTGCACTACCTGCTGCTCCTTTGTCCCTCACCAAGCCACACCTCCTTTGACGAGAGCCACTGGGGCTTCCACTGGAAGGCTAACGCCATCACTTTGGCCTGTCAATGAGGCAGCAGCAGCTAGTCTTGCTCCCATTATGACTTGATGATTAAGAATGAACAGTGTCCGCGTTAAGCTAGCCCCTATTATTTGAGATATTACTTTCTCTCAAAAATCTCAAGAAACACAATGGATATCTGTGGTCATGCTACTGCATGGAAGACACACTGTTTTCTCTTGAAAATTTGTGTGAAGTATGCTAGTCATTGCTCATTTCTGCCCCATTTGATAGAGAACTCCTTAGTAATATGAAAAAACTTTGAAGCTGTAGTCAGTGCCCTCAGAATCCCCAACTCACAGCCATTGCAAGAGGCAGCAGTGTGTGATGCACATGCTGAACTATGAAGATGTACAGCGCCAAACAAACCCACTGCAGTGAGAGATACGGAGCCCTTAGAGGTCACTGCAGTCCTCTTTGGAGAGTGTGGTGGGGAGAAGCATTCACCTGGGGGCAGAGGGGAGCCTAACTGCTCCTTCCTCTTTGGATATCATTTGTCAGGAAGCTTCTTTGATCTTTGTTCCCATCCTTTAAATCAAGTGAGATGTCCCTACAAGGAGCCACTTGCAGCAGCTTGTTTCCTCCATCACAGACCACACTGTAAAGTATGGAAATGCCTGTGGGTTGTAGGCTTACTTGGGCAGAGACAGTTTCTCCTTCACCACTGTTTTTAGACCATTGCAGGACCTCAGAGACAAAGTCAGCATTGCAGAGTCAGTGAAGATCTGCTGAATGCCTCATTATTTAAACAGTCATTGTCTAGAAGGAGAGAGCTTGGGCCAGTGGGGGCTGGTGGGGGAGGGGAGGCTTGGTTCATGTAGTTATTTGCTTATCTGCTTATCTTTTTTCTGACAGATGCATGGAAATATTTAAAGGAAGGAAAGAGTGAGTGATTGAAAATAGGCCTGACCCTAACCTTTGCAGGGTCCAAGGCAGGCATATACATGGAGGTATACATACCATGTGTCTTGATATTTAAATGTGCAAATCAAGCTAATAAACTGTAAAATAAAATTCAATCTTTCTGTCTTGGCAAACATACTTTTGTAGGTCCGAAGGCCAGAGCTGGATTTAGAATTCTCAGATTCCTTGGAGTTCTGCTTTGGATATGGTAGGTGGGGGAGGCATTCAAGTGCTTACCCCATTCCTTTTCACTCCTTGCTCCACTAAGCATTGTGAGGTGACACATGTGCACACTTGTGGAAACCCCAGCAAAAACATACAACTTCATCCTTCTTCACCCTCATGAATAGCTTCCTCTTTACCTCACCTCAGACCTGGCAGTCTACACACTGGAACCAGGAACAAGGCCCACAGAGGCCCACAGAAGCAGGCACAGGGCCATTTGGGCAGGAGATTCTGGGGTCACCAAGCCCCACAGCATGTTGTAGAAGAGAGGAGGCATGGACCCAGGTGAGCACATGTCCCAGCCTCCACAGACTCCTTGCTTGGGGCAGAAGGGTATGACCAGAAGAGGGCCCTCTTGTCTGGGCCAGGGACTAGTCCTGAGAAAGCAACAGATGAGGAGTAAAAGGGAGGGGCAGGGAGCTTGGGCTTCCCTTGAAGCTAGGGTTGGGAAGGACAGGGAAAGGCAGGTGAGGTGAAGAGCATGGAGACCCATTTTTGGGTAAGGGAGCTGGAAGTTGATGTGATTTCTATTTCTTAGCCTGGGGTTATCAGTGAAGCGGGAGGTAGCATTACGTGCTAGGTGGAAGGATGGGGGCAGAGGCTTGGGAAAAATTATAGAAAACTTTGGAAAAGCCAGTGTTTAACAGTATCATGAGAAAGAGCTGAGAAGGAAACTGTGAGAAGCCTGCTGGCGGTGCAGAGGGCCTGCCAGACTGCCCACATCTGTTTGTGCAGGCTGGGCACAGCCCAACTCTGGGCTGCACCTTTTACACTGACTGCAATGTGAATGACAACCCCTCAAGTCAGGCTTTGAACCTCTTGCACAGTCATACCTGGTGGACCCGGGCTTAGGCAATCTCCTCTCTGAATTTTGTCCTCAACAATTAATATTGTTTAGAAAAGTTTGAAGGAGAGAAAATAGAAAATAGTTTTAAGAGCACTTATGCTTACTGGAATTACTTCTTAAATCCATACCTGCTATATAAACACTAATTTAATATTATAAATACTGCCCAGAAAGTCTGACAAAGTGGGATACTTATATTTAATTCTGAGAGCCAGGTTTATGCTCCCAGGATGGTATTTTCCCCATCCTTGTAACCCATCCCAGTGAACCCTGCTCTGAGTGCTGGTCCTTCCCTCCTCTCTTACTAGAAGCCCCACCTATTACTTAAAATGAATTATTATTTTAACACTTTGTGCGTACCACAGAGAAAGAAAACAATGGTAATTACTATAATTCACCCATCTTTGAGACTCCTTCCCTATTGCTCTCCTCAAACTTCAAATTTGTTAATCCCCAGTCTGTGACACCTAACTTCTTGAATTGCCAGCCTGCTTCGATTTTCTCCCTGTATCATGTTTCCTAATTCTGTTGCTGTCTTGTTGATTATTTTTGATATCATTAATATACAATTACATGAGCAACATTGTGGTTACTAGATTCCCCCCATTATCAAGTCCCCACCACATACCCCATTACAGTCACTGTCCATCAGTGTAGTAAGATGCTGTAGAATCACTACTTGTCTTCTCTGTGCTGTACTGCCTTCCCCATGCCCCCCACCACCATTACATTATGTGTGCTAATTCTGTTGTTGATTTTTGTATGTTTTTATCACGACTGACATTTTGTTTCCATTGCTGCACTTGCCCTTTGAGACGGTACTGGAGAAAGTCAATCCAAATGCTTTGGGGACGATTGGTTGTAAAATAAAACAGAGATGATATGGAGGCTCAGAGATATTCATTTTCTCAGTTCACAAAAAAATTGTCAAAAGACTCTAAGAAGCTGAGGCATCCTCCAGGGGGCCCTTTACTCCATGTCTTCACAAAATGCTGTTCCTGCTCCAAGGCAGGTGAACCAACCAGACCAGCTCTAAGAGTGTATCCCACCCCTTGGGGTAGGGCCAGAGAAGGAGTGGACAGTCAGGGAGAGACCCATTCTGAGCAAAGGGATAGTGTCAGCCACCTTCTTCCCTCATAAGACACTGGAGAGAACCTATGGGGCACAGAAGCCACCTTGTCCAAGGAAGCCTGGCTTGCTGATGAGGCTCCTGCCTGCTATTGTTTTGAAGAGCATGAAATGGAACATGTGGTTGTGCTTTCATTTTTTTTTAGAAAACCAGTCACTCTATAAAGTCTCAAAAGTACATAAGATGTCCTCTAACTGATCTCCTTATCTTCCCTTTTTAACTCTCACCAGGCACTTGAATGTCGAATGGGTTCACCACATGCAGCCACGCTGCTCTTCCTCTCGGGATGCTTGGAGGACTGCACCCTATCCCAGCCTGGCTTAGTTCCTGCCTTGGCTCCTCTAAGCCCAGTCCCTGGACCTGGCTTCTGCCCCGTTGCCTTAGCTCATGTTTGTAAGATAAATTCTAGCCGAAATAAGCAGGCGATGAGAGGCAACAAAGGGCCAGGCAGTTTATTTGAGCGCAATTTCCAGGTGATGTTCCTCAGTCTGGGTATTACAGGCTGGGGAAGTCACACTCGGTCAGGGAGGTGGGGGCTTATAAGGGGCTAGGAGGGGGAGGAGTGGGCAAGCTATCCTAGGGGGCGTGGAGAGGTATGATTGGCTAAAGGTGACATAATAGACAACTAGAAACTTTTTTTCCTTCCAAGAGGGAGGAGGCTGACATCTGGGTCTTAGTTGGCACATCAGAAAGATAGAATTCAGGAAGAGCTGTCCCCTTTTCATATAAGACACAGACCTTGGGGTCTGTTCTGTTCTCCTTTTATGGTATCTCTCTGTTCTGTTTGCATGTCCTTGTTTTTCCTTCCTCCAGCCTAACAATGTTCACTTTTGCAACTCCCTGACCCTGTTGTGGAGCTCTTTCTGAAATGCTCCATTTGGTTGCCCACCTACTTCCACTAAGGACCTGAACTTTCTTTAAGTACTGGGAATCATTGGTGAATTAAACATCTGAACATTTGTGCCCCATCTGTTTTGTCTCATGGAGTGATAATGGTATCTCTAAAGCTATGTGCTCTTCTTTCTCATCTCTCACAGGGTGACTTTTGATAGTTCAGGGAGCAAATAGGAAGTAGGATCTTTTTGTCTCTAATACAAAGAAGTTCTCATGAGTTATAATTGCTGTATAAGGCCTTTTCCTCTATTCTAAAAGGCCCTACACTAATATGCAGGTTGAGTTCTTGCCATCTGATTTTCATTTCTGTCATTAATGAGTCAGTTTTAGACATCTCTCTCAGCACATTCATATACTTAGCAGATTTTCTGTTTCTAACATGCTGTCGCCTTAAGATCCCCAAAGGTATTAGAAATATGTCTAAAACCATCACAGTTGCCCAAGAATGCTGAGTTTACAGGACCAGTGGCATGAGCTTCAGCATGTGGACTTTGGGAGCTTTAGTTTCAAGGACTTTTTAATTTTATTAAGGTATCATTGATATACATTCTTATGAAGGTTTCATATGAAAAACATTGCCATATTTTCAAGTCCCCCCCATACCCCACTGCAGCCACAGAGTCACTACTTGTCTTCTCCGTGCTACACTGTCTTCCCCGTGACGCCCGACACAACATGTGTACCAATCTTAACACCCCTCAATCTCCTCTCCTTCCCTCTCCACCCACCCTTCCCCAACCCTCCCCTTTGGTAACCATTAGTCCCTTCTTGGAGTCTTGAGTCTGCTGCTGTTTTGTTACTTCAGTTTTGCTTCATTGTTATATTCCACAAATGAGGGAAATCATTCAGTACTTGTCTTTCTCCACCTGGCTTATTTCACTGAGCATAATACCCTCTAGCTCCATCCATGTTGTTGCAAATGGTAGGATTTGTTTTCTTCTTATGGCTGAAGAATGTTCCATTGTGTATATGTACCACATCTTCTTTATCCATTCATCTACTGATGGACACTTACATTGCTTCCATGTTTTAGATATTGTAAATAGTGCTGCAATAAACATAGGGGTGCATATATCTTTTAGAATTTGAGATCTTGTTTCCTTTGGGTAAATTCCTAGGAGTGGAGTTCTTGGATCAAATGGTATTTCTATTTTTAGTTTTTTGAGGAACCTCCATATTGCTTTCCACAATGGTTGAACTAATTTACACTCCTACCAGTAGTATAGGAAGGTTCCCCTTTCTCCATATCCTCGCCAGCATTTGTTATTGTTTGTCTTTTGGATGTTGGCTCATCTTTCCAGCTCTGGTCTCTGTGCTTGGTCTCTCTGCTCACTCGGGTCCCCACAGCTCCATGATGGTCCATGCTGCAGGCCTCATGCTGTTTTCTTGGCTCAGTAATCCACCAGGGTCCAATTCAGATACATCTTCATGTGAATGCTATCCACTTGCTCTCCACTCTTACCTACAGGCAGAATTAATTGCTTGAGGGTAAATTTCTAAAACCATACTTTTGTTTGCTTGATCACATACTATTAAAAGAAATCTTTAGGACTTATTAATAAAATAGGCTTTCATTTCAAAAACAGAGTGAATTTGAAACTCATTTCCATCATTGGAGACTCAGTATTTCAAAGGGCAGTGAGCATTTGTTCTGATGGCCCAAATCCAAGCTCTCAGCAGTTTTTAAAATATACATGTTTACCATCCAAACCCACAAAGTCTCTAAATACTGTCTCTGTTTCTAGTTCCCCACTTTTCTCATCCTTGTTTCTCCACATATATAATCTTGATGTCTCTTGGATCTGCTTCTGGTCCTAACTTGGCCTTGGTCTCCTGGCTATTTGGTTTCTCCTGACTATTTCTTTTTCCTACCTTTCCTGTTGTTTTTCTAATCCATTTCTTGCTGTCAGAACTTTGGTTGGCTCAGCATTAGGTCACACAGTTCTTGGCAATCATAGTTGAAAAGGACAGCAGCTCTCAAAAACTTTCCTAGTCACAAAGCCCCACCCTAGTGAGGGCATTGGGGAAGATGCCACATTTTTACTTCTTGCTCCAGAGAAAGCCAGCTCAGCCACATGGCTGCATAGTCATCCCCTTCTTACATAATCCCTGGAGACCAGCTGTTAGCCTAAGGCTAACATACGCAGGTGCCTTGAGCCCTGATCTTGAGTGTCAGAGGCACTTAGCTCACACATGCTCCTGCTCCAGTAGCCACCTAGATTATAATGCAGGTTAACTGAAAATGTCCATGTAGATTGTATGTGTTTATATTTTTCTGCCTATTAGTTTAAAAACTATTTTGGGATTAAGTAACAATTTTACCTTAAAAGTCCAATTTTGTATTTTTACAATTCTTCAGTTTACCATACATTCAGGTATTAGTTCTTTAGCTGTCACCACCTTTATATTTTACATACCTGAAGAAAACAAATCCAATTCTCCATCCCAAATATACCCACCTAAAATCGGAAAACATACCTTCCTCTGACAAATGATCTTCCAGATCTATTTTCCTCTCTTGCCCTGCTTTCTGCCTGAGGGCTGAACCAGTGGACAGATCAAGGGCTCTCTCATCGTCTGGTGCTCAGGTGATTCAGCCAATGGGGAGACCCAGCAGGAGATGGTGTGAGGTCAGGATATTTATTCCCTTAGTCCCTCTGGGCATGGTCATCTAGGAAGCTATATCTCAACTGGAGGACCCAGTTCTTCTTAAGGAAGCCTTCTCTGTGCAGCTTTCTCCTTCCAGGTTCCCAGAACTATCCCAGAGAGGTGTACTCTCCCACATGAAATTGGGGTGTGGTTTCCTGATGCCAAGCCATACCTCTCTGCACTGTTCCTTCATTAAACCCTCCATGATTTTTTTAACTTGAGTGTGTCAACAATTGCCTGATGATAAACTTGAAAACTGTTTGAAATCCTCATTCAGAAATAATAACGGGTTTACAATGTCACAACACATTTGAGTATATAGACACCCTTAAGTAATCTCATAACAAAGGTGAGCAACCAACTCGAATGGGAACATGGTGAGAAATCCTTCGATTTCACTCAGGCAGTTGCATCTCAAATATATCACTTATTTAAGGTAACAGTCCCATAATGACCACAACTCAATGCCCTACTGCTGTAAATCCTGTACTGGGATTGACTAAAGTCTTCTTTCTCCTATTTTTAAAAATTTATTTTTTAATTGAGGTATAATTGACATATAACATTGTATCAGTTTCAGATGCACAACAATGATTCAATATTTAAATATATTGCAAAATGATCATCACAAGAAGTCTATTAACATCTGTCACCATTTGCAGTTTAAAATTTTTTCTTGTGATAGAACTTTTAAGACACACTTTCTTAGCAACTTTCAAATATGCAACACAGTATTATTAACTGTAGTCACCATGCTGTTTATTACATTTCCGTGGCTTATTTATTGTATAACTAGAGTTTTTGGCTTTTGAGCATTTCACCCTTCCCACCCTTCACCCATTTCACACATTCCCCACCACGCTCTGCCTCTGGCAACTCCAGTGTGTTCTCTTTAACTATGAGCTCAGTTTTGTTTTTGTTTTTGTCTTTAGATTCTACATATAAATGAGTTCATACAGAATTGGTCTTTCTCTGACTTATTTCACTCAGCATGATGCTTTCAAGGTCCATCCATATTGTTAAGAAAGGCAAAATTTCGGTATTTTATTATATATAATAATATATATGGAATATTATTCAGTCATAAAAAGAAGGAAATACATATATGTGTATCTATATGTATGTATGTATGTATGTATGTAGGTGCCACATTTTCTCTTTCCTTTCATCCATCAATGGATACTGAAGTTGTTGCCATATCTTGTCTATTATAAATAATGCTGCAATAATTGTAGTAGTGCATGTATATATTCAAATTGGTGTTTATGTTTTCTCTGGGTAAATACCCAGGAATGAAATTGCTCCATCATATGGTAGCTCTATTTTTAATTTTTTTTAAGGAAACTCCGTCCTGTTTTCTATAGTGCATGCATCAATTTATATTCCAGCCAACAGTGCCCAAAGACTCCTTTTTCATTCTTATTTCTTGTCTTTTTGATAATAGCTGTTAGAGGTAAATATCTCATTGTGGCTTTGATTTGCATTTCCCTGATGATTAGTGATATGGAGTACCTTCTCATCTACCTGTTGGCAATCTATATATCTTCTTTGGGAAAATGTCTATTCAGATTTTCTACCTATCTTTAACTTGGAATTTTTTCCTATTGAGTTGTATAAATTCTTTACGTATTTTAGATATTAACCCCTTATCAGATATATGATTTGCAAACAAATGTGTTCTCCCATTCAGTAGGTTGCCTTTTATTTTGTTGATGATTTTCTCTGCTTTGCAGAAGTTTTTTAGTTTCACATAGTCCCACTCGGTTATTTTTGCTCTGATTGCCTTTGCCTTTAGTTTCAAATTCAAAAAACCATTGCCAAGATTGATGACAAGGAGTTGACTGCCTGTGTTTTCTTCTATAAGTTTTGTGGTTTCAGGTCTTAAATTCAAGTCTTTAATTCATTTTGAGTTAATTTTTGTGTGTGGTTTAAGATGGGGTCCAGTTTCATTCTTTTGCATGTAGCTGTCCAG